TTTAATCTATGACTATGCACCCACAGTCACCTTTGAAGAATAATTTTTTTGCCATCAAAATAAATTACTGTATTTATCACCACATATATCAATCACGGATGATGATGCTGTTGATCACCACTCTAAAAAGCATTCTGGAAAGACCTCTTTGGGAAATGAATGACCTTTTATCACTCTTTTTAGGGGAAAGGTGGAAGTTTCAGTCATGGAATTGAAAGCATACTGCATTACAAAATTAAGTCATTCATTCAGACTTCTTAAAAGCAATATATCTAGAGAAACTTCCATATACAGAATACAATTACAATTTTTATAGTCAATCATAAAAAATAACACACTACAACTAAACCTAAAAGTTTTCTCTAAAACTTAAATAACTCTGTCAAGGACTGGGGTTGTGACTCAGTGGTAAAGTGCTTGCATAGTGAGGCACTGGGTTTGATTCTCAGCACCACATAAAAATAAATAAATAAAATAAAGGTACTGTGTCCATATACAACTAAAAAAAAAAGAAGGGCTGGGTATATAGCTCAGTTGATGGAATACTTGCCTCGAATGCACAAAGCCCTAGGTTCAATTCATGGCACCACAAAAAAAAAAAAAGAAAAGAAAAACTCTGCCAAGCCAGGCACAGTGGCATACTGCTGTAATCCCACTGGCTGGGGATGCAGAGAGGATTCCAAGTTCAAAGCCAGCCTCAGCAATAGCAAGGTGCTAAGCAATTCAGTGAGACCCTGTCACTAAATAAAATACAAAATAGGGCCAGAGATGTGGCTCAGTGTTTGAGTACCCCTAAATTCAATCCCTGACACCCCCCCCAAAAAAAAAAATCTTCCAACAATTTTGAAAATGCAAGACTTTCTAAAAGCAGAGAGGAATTAAAGACACTTTACATGGTGCTGGCTTGGCCTTAGATTTAGAATGCATAACATACCTTTTGCTGAAAGGCCTCACACGTACTGCGACTGTCACTTGACTATTCTCCACTTTCAAAGCATCTATTTCTGTAGTGGTGTTCGGAACTATAGTTTCTTCTTCAGGAGGGAGTGTATTTTCTTGTGACCTTTCCCTTTTATTTCCAAAAAGGGATATTTTGGGACTTGGCTTAACTTGCAGGTTCTGCACCCTATTTTTCAGTATTGATGTAGCTGGGCTCTTAAACTGAGGTGTGCTGTGCTTTGGTGTCAATTTGTGTTCCGTTATACATTTCACAGGGGTTCTTTTTTCGAGGCTTCCAAATTTATTTGAATCTTTTGCTGCATCCTTCCCCATATTTCTATGATATAAGTTCCCTGTTCCTGACACTTTGATATCAGACTTGTTCTGAACAGTTTTCACTGCCAAGTATTCTGATCTAACAATTTCAGTTGAACCCTGGGAGCCACTGGGTGCTCTATTCCTTGAGTGATTCAGTGTAACATTTTCATTTGCCACACTAGGGACAGAAAATGTTTCTTTATGTTTCCCATCAACCATAGCTTCAATGTCTTTTGGGTCTTCAGCTAAATGTGCAGAGGATGCAACAAAACAGTTTTTGTCACTATTTATAATCTTCACATTTGTCCTAATTTCCAGTGAAGCATATCTTTTTTCTGTTTCATCTCCCACATTCTGTGTTGTTTTCCCTTTTTCCACAGAATCTGCTTTAGCACGTCGCTGTAATGTAAGATTTTCTGTTTTTTCAGTTGTGTCTCCCAACTCATAGCCAAGTAAAGATGACTCTTTGTTCCTTGTAGCTCTTCTCTGAAGTGTCAATCTACCCACAGGATTAGGAGTAAGAGGCATATCTCCTGTTTTTTTACAGGCAGAAATAACATAAGTTCTATTTATGTCTCTGATTTGACCTGCAGATCTCAACGATGGATCATCATTTTCACATTCTGACATATCTAATTTCAAATGCAGCTTAAGTTGGCTACTGTCGGTGAGTGCATTCGGTGATGACCTCTTGGAGGAAGAAGGAACTCGAAGGACTTCATTATTATTTCTATTATGAGCAGTGTGTACTGACATTTTGGAAGCAAGTTATTTTAAAACGAAAATTATTAAGAATCTAAGCTCTTCTTTGTATGCTCATTTGACTTCCAGCCATTTTCTATGTATCGTTTTCAAAAAAATATCTGCTAAAAAAAAAAAGATTTAAGTTGCATAAACAACAAACAAGCTTTAAAAATAGAGGGATTCTGCAATTTTCAAAGTAAATTCCCAGAGGTAAACATTAGAATAAATCACAGCTTCCAGCTGACCTATTGCTTTCAAGTCACTTCTGATAAATGTGTCCTCAAAGAGCTTTCAGTCATTATTGACAAATTTTTACTGAGTGTTCCATTATATGCCAGGGTCTCTGGCAGATACTGTAAACTTCAAAGACAAGACCCTCATTCTCACCTTCTCAGGATAGAAGGAATACACAGATAGCCCTTACATCAAGTCAAATGGGTCAAATGTCTTGAGACACATCAGAATAGATTTTTTTTTTTTTAAGTACCCACAGCATTTTTTTTTAAAGTGGGACAAAGTACTAAAGGAAATCCTAGCACATAAATCAGTTTGGAGCAAAGCATCTTTATATATACCTATTGGATATATGCTAAATACATATTAGTAATGCCTAAGAGGAAATTGACTGATATCACAAGGCAGATAATTGCCAAATAAGTACCCAGACATAAGTACTAACACATAATTGCTTATGTTGAAAAACAACTATGCAAGATGAGATGCAGGTCACCTGCCCTTTATCAGACAACAAACTACACAGGTGTGCATGTAAATATATGCCGACACTATCTATCATGCATTAAAATAAAGAAAAAAGTAGTTACAGCTAAGCAACCTGGCTTCTAGTCAACTCTGCATCAAACTCCTTAGATGGATATAAAAACAAGTCTTTAAATTTGCATGTCTGATTCTAACTTGTAAAATGACTGTGGCTGAAACCATTCGCAGATGATTACTATTAAGGAATAAAATAATAGAAGTTCGCTTTTAAGTGAGTATTTTTATGTTTTACATAAAAAACAACAGGTCATCGCTACCAAAAAATCATCATCATCATCATCATCATCATCATCGCCAGGTTATAAGCATCTTCCGTCAAGTTTTCAAACTTTTCAAAATATAGACTCTTACTATTATGAAATAAATTACAAGGCAAGAATAGATTCTGGAAACCCCACTGCAACTAAAAACCATTTGCTATTTACCCAATCAATACTATTTTTGTTTGAGGAGTTTCGCAACTACATTTTAAAGAGGACTAGAAAGAACATTTTAAGAAAATAAGTCACAATCCAAACCAAAACATCCCGGTGATTCTTGGGTTGTTTCTCGCCTAGTCGCTGTGGCAATGTACCTCTTAGCCGACCGACTCGGGGACCCTCTACCGGTGAGGGCCAGGCGGAGCAGCCCTAAGTCCAGCTCCCGGTCGCGGCAGAGGTACTGCGACGAGCCCTTCCTTCCGGGACCCCTCTTTCTGCCAACCCAGAGTTCTGATGACAGAACACCCCCCCCACACCCCGGCCTAAGCACACCGGCCCGCGTCGCAGAGGCCGTCAGGAGGGGAAGCACCTGTTCGTCTTCCCCAACACGTACGTCGCCCCTCTGCAATGCCAGCAACCTCGGGGACGCGGTCCAAGTGGTCCCCAAACAACTCACTTCCAACAGCGCCGGCTCCCGCGGTGGCCGCAATTTGAATGGGCGCCGCGCCGTCTGATTGGCTGCTGGACGTCGCGTCGTGCGCCGCGCCTTCACTTCCTCCCGCCCCCCGGAAGCGCCGGCGCCTGGGTTCGGGCCTCTGAGTCAAAAAGGACCCACCCCGCCCTCATCTCCCGGGCAACGGTGTCACGCCAACCCGGACCCCAGCTGGAGCTGCTGTAAATCCCAGCAGAAGCTGGGCAGGGATCTAGGCTGCTACCGGCGCCCAGCTAAAATGAGTTATAAAGGAAAAACGTGACAAATGACACTCGTGTCGTTCTTTAATATAAATCAAAGCGTAGTCTGTCCTGTTTACATCGAAGAGACTTCACATTGTAAATGACTGTATACCCCTAGTTTTATCTTAATAATTAATGCTTTTCTAGTATTTCTTATGCAAGCCGTTGAGGTAGAAAGTGTACTCGATGTCTTACATGATTTATTTAATCTTGAATATCTTCTGAAATAAGGATTAATATTATCCTCACTTTACAGATGAGTAACTGAGGTTTAGAGTTTACAAACTTGTTAAAGATCAGACAACTTGCAAGTGGCCTGACTACAGTCCAAAGCTGATGTCATAAGATTTAAATCAGTTTCAAAATGTTCCAATAATAATATATTCCAAAAAATAACCAGCTTAATGGGAAAGACTCTAGCCAAACATATATTCTAAAGCAACAGTATTTTTTAAATGGGCACACGATGGAAATGTGCTCAACAGGATAGAAGGGAAAACAGAAGCAGTTTCAACTATCTAGAAAAGCTGGATGATAAAGTTGTCATTCTAAAACTCACTCTAAAGAATCTCTCCAAAATTTAGTTATAGGGAAACTGTCAGAAAATAGAATATATTTGTTAAAATCTATTGGGAAAATGTTCATTCAGTTGATAATCAAGAGGATATGACAACTGAACATGAGAATTTTAAATTTATATAGCTTAAAATAATAGAAGTAAAATGTAAGATAACCAAAAATATAGTAAATGTTACAGAGGCGGGCTGGGGATATAACTCAGTTGGTAGAGTGCTTGTCTCGCATGCACAAGGCCCTGGGTTCAGTCCGCAGCATCACCAAAAGAAAAGGAAAGTGACAGAGGTGTAAAGATGTTTTTAGTTTTATAGAAAATAAATAGATGATAAAATTTTACACAAAATAGTCCATATGCATACAAAAATAATACATGTAAAAATATAATGCAAACACTCAAATATTAAAAGCAAGTTTTTTAAAAGGAATAAAATAATTCTTTTTCATTTGGGTGCTAATGATTTTGCACCAAAATAAAAAAAAATAACATACCTACTAATATAAATTGGAATGCTTCTTGAAGACAGAATCAGAGTGCATTCCTAGTGTTTAGTATAGGCCTGATATATATTTTAGATGCTCAATAAATATTTGCTGAGTGAATAACAAACCATTCTAAAAAGTAGTATAATGTATTGGAAGAATCACAAAGGTATTCATACCTTTTGACATAGAAACTGCATAACAGAAGTTTATGCTAAGAAAATATTTTAGTAAACCAGGAAAGTCACAGGAATATTCTCTATCCATACTAGGTCCAATCCACTTTGAATGTTTAAAAATGAGGGAAAATTAATAGTGTTGCAATTATTGTGTCCATTTAAGTTATACAGTTATTATAAATTAAATAGAATCAGACAATGCTGGGCTATAGACTAAGTCATAATCTGTCCATGAGACTACGAGCTCAAGGTAAAGTGGGACCTTGTCTGTCTCACCCTTGTCTCCCTGTGACTGGAAGGGAATCTTCACAAGACTTCACAGAACATAGCCAAACTCCCCTCTTCTTATTTTTTCTCTGTTAGAAACCCCTGATTTAATTTCAACTACACGATTAAGAGCCCACAAAACCAAGAGCCACCTGTTACTTATCTCCAGGTTACACAAGAGGGATTTTCACCTCCTGGTTATTAAACTAAGATGGCACTTTTCTCTGCAAATCCTGTCCAAAGCTGACTAGCAGAGAAAAGTCACTTAACCTCTAAGTGACTCGGGTTCCTCAACTGGAAATTGCAGATGATAATGTTACCTATCCTGAAGAGTCATAATAAGGATTAAATTAAATAACGTATGCAGTGCTCAACATCAAATTTGATTCAGGATTAATGCTTAATAAACTTTAGTTTCTAAATTACATAGCCTAATGTAATTCTTCAAAGCATTGAAAAGCCCTATTCAAGGCTAGTGCTGAGGAACTAGGATTCTACATTTTGGGGCTGTCTGTTATAATGATAATGACACATTTTATGAAGGATGAGGATTATTATTTAATCCCTAGAAATAACCAACATGATGAAATAGTGAGTTCTTTTGTAAAGGGCTCACTGTGCTCTATTAAAAACTAGGAGAGGACAATGAAATATTGTCTCTAAGAGGGAGCAGTACTAATCTCTGTTTTGCTCCAATTTGATTAAATTTTAAAAAAATAAAGACTGAATTTTGTTTTTTTTTTTTTTAAGGACAAGAAAAATGAGTCTAGGAGAGGAAGATTTGGCTAATACAAAGTTTGTAGAAAGTAAACAATCTGGCATTTCTCAATTCTTTTCAAGCCTTGGTTCCTCTGAATTGGTGACAGATCCCCCCTGACTCAGAGGGGGTGGGGGTGGGGGGTTGGGGGAATGCCAAGGCCTTCTCTAACACATGAAGCCAGCAGGCAATGTCAGAGCCTTTCTCTACCATTTAGGCAGCTGGAGTGCTGTGTTACTGCCAACACAGCAGCTGTTTAAAAGGTCCTATATTTTCAAGTCTGTCTTCAAGTTTGACTCATTAAAATAATAGTTCTTTTAGGAGATTAGACTCAAAGACCTGTTATTTCATAATCACAAGCCTAACTCTACATTCTAGCTAGACTCAGAGGGGAATAAGGAGAATTTGGAACATAAAGAACTGGAGCAAGAGCACAAAGTGATAGGATGGGGTGACGGGGTGCACTCAATACTAGAGTTGTTCACCTTCGGCAATGGAGATCTTCTTGCTGGTCTTACCGTTCCTTGACCCAAAGGGCTCTGTGGCTTCCACGGTGTTCTTTCCCTCTTTCACCCTCCCCAGGGCCACATGCTTGCCATCCAATCACTCAGTCTTGGCAGTGCAGATGAAACACTAGGAATCCTTTGTGTTGAGTAGAGTATTTGCCGTGGACAAGAAGCTAGCACTTGTATGCCGCAGGATGAAGTTCTCATTGTCAAATTTATTCCCATAGATGGATTTGCTGCCAGTGCCATTATTGCATGTGAACTCTCCCTGGCACATGAATTCAAGAATAATTCTGCGAAAGCAGGAACCCTCTTAACCCAATGCTTTCTCTCCAGTGTGAAAAGTTTCCTGCTGTTTCAGAATTTTGTCTGCAAAGAGCTGGAAAGAGACACAGCCCAAGGGCTCGCCATCAGCACAGGATGTTGGACACCTGGGTGGAATTGATGTTGAATGTGAGGTTGAAGGTGGCTGGCAGCAGGCAGTTTGGGGCAACAGGGATTTCTGCAAAGCCATTTACCTGGCTTCTTTACCTGTAATAGGAGATAATAAATCAATGACTGATAGAAAAATTAATTAGATAAGATATATGAAAAATTAGGTAAGATATATGAAACAACTTTTAAAACATTACATACTACTGTATATAAATTAAAGTAGTTACATGTGTGACGATATACAGTTAATACTCAAATAATTTAGATTAAAATAGTAAAGTATATGAAAATAGGTAATCATATTATTTATTCCATGCACATTGCATGGAATATAAGGACACCATAAATATGAATGAAATCAGAACTAATTGCATCTTGAGTCACCTAGTCGACTAATACATTTTTTTTCTTATTTCTTTCAGCTGCAGACTTACCTTCATGTAATCCCTTCTTTCATTCTGACTTTAGAAAAATACTCCTTAGGGATACTCCTGCTCCTTGTCCTGGATTCATCTTCTCCATCGCCCCATTGACCTCTCTTCATCAAATTTTTCCCGTCTTCCCTCCATCTTCAGCGTGTCTCTCATCTAAAAAAATTAAAATAAAATAAAATAGATGCCCCATCCACCCAGATCTTCTTGCTGTCTAGCTCCTGCTCTATCTCATTTTCGCCTTTCATGTCCTGGCTCCCCTTAGAGAGGTGTGCACCAGGTCTAGAGGGGTGTGAAGCCCTTTGGATTCATGGGGGAGAGGCTTCAGAAGGGCTGTTAGCCTAGACAAGCAGAAAGCCCAGAGAACACAAGACTGTGAACCTAAAGAAACTACTAAGAAGTAACAACTGTCATTAAAACCAAGAAGGGTGGGCTGGAGTAGAGCACTTGCCTGGCATGTGTGAGGCACTGGGTTCGATTCTCAGCACCACGTATAAATAAATAAATAAAGATCCATCTACAACTTAAATATATGTATTCATATAAAATTTAAAAAAAAAGAAGGAATAAAGGACCAATGAGGCTCAAATTATTGGGATATCAGTAAATTTAAGAATGGAGATAAAGGAGAAAAAGGTACAAATGAGCAAGAGAGTCTGGGACATTCTTCATAAACCCTGCTGGGACGTCTGTCCACAGCTTGCTCTTGCAGAATGCTGACCTCCAGGTACATGATTGGACCAAGGATATGATAGGGACAAGGACAGGTTACTTATGCCTTCATTCAAGTTTCCTGAAGACCAAGGCTTGCTTTCTCTCGATCTTCAGCTCCTTCTGTCTCAGCCTCCCAAGTCGCTGGGATTACAGGAGTGCACTACATCCAGTTCCCTGACTTCTTTTACATAAGACTGAAATAAATGTCTGTTTTAAAAGTTACCTATTATTTATGTTTTCTGCAGTCCAACATGGTTGTTTTTCTTTTTTATGTTTTGTTTTTGTTTTTGCAGCCCAATTCTTTTTTTAACATTTATTTTTTAGGTATAGATGGACTCAGCACAATATCTTTATTTTTATGTGGTGCTGAGGATGGAACCAGGGTCCTGCCCATGCTAGGCGAGCGCTTGAGCCA